GACAGGAAAGCTGTACCACTTAGACTCCGTTTTTGCTGTCCTTGACCATGTCGATCTTCTCCTTCAGGTCGATGATCAGATCACGAAAGTTGAGTGGGTCCATGTTCTTGGAGAGAAGGTCAAGGAGGAACCAGTCGCCGACGCCGCCGTGCTTCAGCACCTCCTTGATCTGCTTTGGATTGGAGATGCGGCAGTGGGAGTGGGTGGCGACGACGCGCATGCCCGGGTAGAAGATGGTCAGGGCGCGGTAGACGAGGGCGAGGGCGCTAGCGATGGCGAGGAAGTAGAACCAGAACCAGAGGAAGATGTACACCTTCTCGTTGACGATGTTGATCGGCAGAATGCACATCGCATCGTGGCGCTGCACGTCACCTGAGGAGCCGTATCGGTGGAATGTACACTTGGTCAGGCGGGGGAACACTTTGATCTGGGTGGTGGAAAGTACATAAACAAAGGTTAGTAAAAGGAAGGAGACAAAAAAGAAAGTGATTCTACCATTGGATCGTATCGCACGGACCAGTCCCACTCTGAGAAGTTGATCACCTCCCAGCCGAAGGAGCTGAACTCACCGCCCAGGAAGCGGTCTATGAGCACCATCTGGAGGATAACGTTGATGAGGTTGAGCACCTCGGTGATGGCGTAGGTGAGGAAGAGCGTGTTGTGCAGTGACATGTTCCGGAAGAGGTAGTCCGTCACCAGGTTGATCGCCCCTCGACGGTCATCCTCGCCGAGAATGGGCCGATTCAGGCCGAGAATGAGGTTCTTCACCAGCCCACCTTCGGCAGCCTTCCACAGGTACCGCGGAACGTAGAAGAAGATGGCCTGGAAGAAGAGCACAAAGCACACCCACTGGTAGTAGGCGTGGTAGACCCTCTTCTCGTTGGGCGTCGTCTTGTCAACACCAGGATAGGGCACTTCCTCGCCGACTCGCTTCTTCCACGCATTTTCAATGCTAAAGGTCGTGTGAATCCAGCAGTAGGTGTCTGTAAGGAGCGGAAAAGAAGGGCAAATAAAAAAAATTAGTACGTTTGTTTAAGAAAAAGAAGGAAAGTAGAAAATCCCCTATAAAAACAGCATCTCCTTCCTCCTGTTCACCCTAATCCCTTGTTCACCTGCAGGTAAATCTTTTTTTCCTGTCTCACATGTTTGGCTTAAGTTGACCAGTGGAATAGCCTTTCGCACTGTCCGCCGTTAGCAATTTCTCCCTCTTGCTCTCTTTCTATCTACTTTGCCGTCTTGTCGTCGTCTTTCCGTCTGAACTACTCGTACAACAAGATGACGATAAAGATCGACATGAGTTATGGACTGACGTTTTCTCCTCACTTAATGGCCTGCAGACGTTAGTGGCAGCAGGTAGTGTAATCCAATGCTCGCATAAATTATCGACACGGGCTGACGGCGGGCGACTTGGCAAGCGGCTAAGCAGCAACAGCAGCAGCAACGGCAGCAGTGACGTTGAATGGCCGTTCAGACAAAAACAGGTCAAGTCGAATAGTGGGCCCTGACTGAATAGTTCATTCGAATGCACATTGAATATGCCATTTCCAGGTGTTTCCTCACACAGAATCGTCGTCCACCGAATCTGAATGAGCGGCGGCAGCAGCAGCACCACCACCCCGAGCTGCCCTCAAAAGATGACAACTGCGAATATCAGACAAACATCATCATCATCAGCAGCAGCAGCAGCACACCTCCACCACCTCCACCACACTTGAAGAGTGGCACCCATCACGACCACCACCACCGCTGGCCTCCAACCTCGAGACTGGACCCGATCTATTTATAGCCACTGACTCTTCTGACGTCAGTGAAGTCAGGTAGCCTAGATTGAGCGAGGTGTATTATAGATTTCGATTATATGACTGACTGAGTGAGAAGGGGGAAGAAGGGAAGAGAGTCTTTCAAGCCGATGGAGAGTTATGAAGTGTCTGAACACACACACTGAAACACCAAACAGTCTCTCTTTATCTTTTCTCTCTCTTTTTCCGGACTATATATAGGCAGAAACTGACGTGTCCATTTGGCAGACCAATGACCACCACCACCACCACCTCCGCTTTCGACAACAACACCAAGACCAAAACCAAGACCAGCAGCAGAAGCACCTGAGCTCAGTACAGTTCAGCGGCGGGGTAAACAGTTTCTCGTGGTTACCACACCAAAGCGACTCGGCTGCGGCGGCGGTTATCGGCGTAAAGCCACCGACTGACACCAAGCAGCGGTGTTTGACACATTTCTCTTAAAGCGTCAAGGAAAGCTGCAGCTAGTTCAGTTCAGCTCAGGCAGTGCTCCCTTTTTCTTCTCTCTCGCTCTCAATACCCGCTTCTGCGAAACTGTGGCACACAGTGNCCGACTGACACCAAGCAGCGGTGTTTGACACATTTCTCTCCAGCGTCAACGAAAGCTGCAGTTCAGTTCAGCTCAGCTCAGGCAGTGCTCCCTTTTTCTTCTCTCTCGCTCTCAATACCCGCTTCTGCGAAACTGTGGCACACAGTGGGCTAATTGTGCCAAGTTGCCACCGCCAATTACCGCCGTACACACACACTGGTATAGCACAAACAGACAGCTTCTGTTGGTGGTTGGTAGTTCTCAGGTAGTTCTGAAACAGCGGCGGCTGCAGAGGCAGAAGTGCAGAAGGCAGTGACGCGGCCCGGTGACCACGAGCGCCCACAAAACGGCCTTCCTGCACACAACTGCATGAATTGCCGTGATTAGCTAAAGTGGTGGTGGTAGCTGTTCTGATGGCACAAAAGAATGCTCAAAGACTGCTCATTGCCAAATTAGCCTCAAATTAGATCAGCTNGACAGACAGCTTCTGTTGGTTGGTTGGTAGTTCTCAGGTAGTTCTGAAGCGGAGGCGGCAGAAGTGCAGAAGGCAGTGACGCGGCCCGGTGACCACGAGCGCCCACAAAGCGGCCTTCCTGCACACAACTGCATGAATTGCCGTGATTAGCTAAAGTGGTGGTGGTAGCTGTTCTGATGGCACAAAAGAATGCTCAAAGACTGCTCATTGCCAAATTAGCCTCAAATTAGATCAGCTACCGAACAGAACATGAACAGGTGATCAACACTGCACTTTGCACCGGCAAACACGACCAACTTCCACCACTGGTGGTCGTCGTGGTCTTCGTCACCACTTGTTTTTCTCTGAAATGCCTAGTCAAATAGGGTGAGTAAACAGGCGTGCTCAAAATGCTGGTCACTGTCTGCTTCTCTACTTTTGCAGCACTGCTTTTTTGCCTGTGCTTTCACAGTGCTCACTTGTCACTTTGAATTTCTTTCGCAAAGTCATTTTTTATCCTCATATAAGCGAAGTGCGCTGTCAGTGTTCACTGTTCAGGTCAGTGCAGCCACCACCACCACCACCACTAAAAGAGCAACGAGTTAAGAAAACAAGTGAGCCTAGCAACTAGCAACAAGCAGTGGCAACCGCCGCTTCTGATGGCAAAGGTCATCAGAGGCTAAAGGGGAACATAAGAAGTAGAAGAAGAATCCGAAACGACCGAGGAGACGTGCAGACACAATAAAAGCCAGTGTATTCCAGTAGAAAAAGAGAGA